TCCTCGTCGCCAGGTCGTCGCCGCCACCTTCACCCCCGCTCCGGTCGCCGCCCTCCGGTGAGGAGCCCCTCTCCTCCCTCCTTCCCACTTTTCCCCGCGCGCCGCCGCTCTCCGCGCACTCGCTATCACCTTCGGCCGCCGCCGTCGGCCTGTGCGCCATCCGCCGCCGCTCGCGCCGCCGCTTGCCGTCGCCGGTGGTCGCGTGCGCCGCCGCCGCACCCCCATGGCCGGTCGGCCGGCTTTGTGCCGAGCCGAGCCGTGCCAGGCCGCCACCCGCACCGTCCGATCGGCCCCGGGCCGTCGGTCCCGTGGACCGGCGGTGGATCACCCACGTGGTCCCGGTCCACGGTGGACAGGCCCCTTGAGCCGCTGCCGAGTGGGGCCCGCATGTCGGCGCCCCCTCCCTTGATGACGTCAGCCCTGGGGATTTATTGCGCAGTAATTAATTAAGGCCTTTTCTTTATTAGTAAAAACACAGAGAATCTTTTAAAAATCATAACTAATTCATCCGAGCTCCGATTAAGTCCATTCAAGTCTCAGTAAATTCATAAAAATGCATAGAATCCATTAAAAATGGTTTTGTTTCCTGTTTCAATAGTCTTATAGCCTGTTTTGCTTGTGTGCTTTGTTTGTCGCGTAGATTTCGGCCGTTTCATCGATCCGCGGTTTCTCGAAGACGTTGCTGTGGTTCCATCAGTGCGAGAGCAAGGCAAGTCATGCATTACAATTGATCATATTGTACCCAATTTACAAATGTCCCGCATTTCTATTAAATATTGCATTGTTTTACAATATCATGTGGGATGAGTCCTACTACTCAGCCATATATTGTTTACCTTATGCCATTGCTAACTCGGGTATTAAAATGACTAGATGTTGGTTTAGGAAATGCTTAGCCATGCTTAGTTCTACTAGTACACAAAAAGGGAATCACATTAAAGCATAGACTTTGATTATTGGCATAGCTTTGGTTTAGTGCCACCGTAATGGTGTTGGTTAATTAAAATACACTACATGGTGGGCTGTGGGTGCATGGTTTTGTTAGTCATGCCCATAGCGATTAAGGACCGGTTCGCGGGATACCCTGGAAGAACTTACCGTACTTACCACAAGCCAGCGTGGGCAACGGCTGGGCTTGTAGTGTAGCTTTCCTCTAGCCGACGTACCCAGACGAGGGTGGGCGTGATGGAGTTGGTTCAGCCGGGGTGTCCGGTTGATCGGCTTCCGGATTCACCACGGCATGAAAGGGGGGCTGCCCGTTGCCTGCTGGGGACGGGGGCGAACCCTAAGGTGTGGTGCGATCGGTTAGAGGGGGTTATGCGAAGGGTCCTGTCACGGCCTCTTTCCGGTATGTCGTGGTGGCATGTCGGTGCATGGGAATGTGTCGTGGGGCTGTGTCTTGTGGGTACAGTTGTACACCTCTGATCAGAGTAAAACTATTCGAATAGCCGTGCCCGCAGTTATGGGCGGTCGACCAGATTCACCGTGATTAGTCTCACATCTAGTTAGCTAATGGAACTGGTTAGTTCAGGTGGTGGTTTGGGCCTGTTGCAACGTGGTGTAGCGTTGGACAGTGATTGGTTAATATTGATAAATCACTACAGCTGTTTTACTGCTTTCAACTACTGCTTTTAAATGCTAGCTTTATGCAAATGAGCCTTTAGCCTCCTTTGGATATATCCTGCATCATACCTCCTCTTCCGGTATAACTTGCTGAGTACAGTGGGTAGTACTCAGTCTTGCTCTCTTTCCCCCACACCAGAGCTGAAGATCTTCCTAGTGGGAGTTGTTTTGTCGAAGTTGGTTTCGTCGCTGCCGTCAAGGATTGCCTGTGGAGTGGAGTCGCCCCGCTGCAGAAGTCAAGTTTCCAAGTCTAGCTTGTTTTATCTTTTCCGCTGCATTTGTAATCTTTTATATTTTTGTAAGACGTGGATCTGTATGTCAACAATTGTCGTTTGTGTACCCTGGCTGGTCCTGGATAGGGGTTTAATACACATTCAGCTTAGAAATTCTGGTTCGTGAATTTCTGGGCGTGACATATGAGGAGAGGGATAAGCCAGAAGCCAACACACACCGCTAGATCCATCAGAGATTAGCCTAGACATCCCCCATCCGGTGCCTATGGAGGCCAGCAAGAGGGATCTAGCACCATCTCTGATCTCGATGAGTTCATATTCGAGGAGGAAGACTACCCCGTCATCGACTACGAGTTGGTTATCCATGCTGCCAAGTCGACGACAGCTAGATAGGTTATTCCAAATATTGTACTTGTGTGATCTAGATGAATAAAGAGCAACACCGGCTTTGGCCAACAAGATTTAGGGCTATTATTTGACAGGTAAGGAGCCCGAATCTGTATAAAAATCCTTGTCCCCATCTCTTTTACCTCAATCTCGCATATAACCTGGTACCGAGGATCCCCATACATACAAATACCGTAGTCGCGACCTCAAACGTCGACAAGTTGTGTGTCTCATATAACACCTAAATCGGCAGCAGGTTGACAAATCTTTAAGTGACATAGCAATCATAAACAAATTGAAACTTAAAAAATATATAAATATTCAAGTTAACTTGTCATAAACATTTTCAAACACAAAAATAAAAATATATCAGCTCCATCATTTACCCGTTGGCTTATCAGCCACAGGTCACATGCAAAATTTAATTTTCTGGAAGTTAATTTTAGAAATGATTTTAGGATTTTCTTTGTTGTAGTTTAGTTTTCAACATGGGCTTTTCAATTGCTAAGAATACATCTATGAAAGTTTTATCTATAAGTTATATTTGGTTGCTTCATTCATTTTTCCATGGTTTATCAACCGTTGAGCAAACAATGAGAGGCTATATATTTCATATCGAATTTCCTTCCAAAAAGGCTCCTATGTAAATATATTACACAATTAATTTTTTTTATGTCTTTGTTGTGCAACTTTGAGTAGTATTGCTATATTAAAACATAACAATAATAGCTAACAAAATCATAATATTATGAATAAATAAAAAAAATCAACATTAAAATATTTTTATGTTTTTCAAATGAGAGTTATTGTATCAAAACTTCAAAATTCTAATTGAATAAATTTAGTACTTTCATGGGTTTTAATGTTTAAGAGCGTTGGTTTCAAGTAAAAAAATGAAAATTGAAGTAGAGTAGGACCAAAACACCCCCTCATCTTCGCTGTTCTCACAAGCTCTCGCGTAACGGTTTTACCTTATCTCCTCCTCCTCTCATCGGAGTTGTGTGTTACTCCCCATCTACGTCGTAGACATGGCTGGCTTCATCCCCGCCAAAAGCCTTTGTCACGCACACAACCTACCTTATATTTTTTTTATAGATTTTCTCTATTTTTATGGTTTTTCACTTAACTGCCTATCTACTGTGGTGCGACAGTTTTAGTAAAAGTTAAATCTTATGCTGTAAGTCCATATCTTACACATTAAATTACATACACTTATAATATATTTTAAATGCACTATTCACGTTTTATAGGAGAAAAAGGGGAAAATGATTTATTATCTATTTAGTATGAGAAAAAAATATCAGTCAAGATTAGCATATATGTAAAAAATAAAAAAAACAATATGAAAGAATTAGGGAAATACCAATATAGCTATATACATACTGATAAGAGATAGATAGTCATCATATATCATGCAGTGAGAAAAGAATACCACAATCGAATGCTTTATTATTGAGCAAAATTGATGGTATTATTTTTATCTTTTTTAGTTGAATCTATCTAACCATAATTAATCAGCCAATGTTGGTAGAAATCCGTATCGTCACGCATCAACATATCATGAGATTATTAGTAAAAGCTAAGTACACCGATCCAACCATGCTTAGCATATCACAAGACTAATAGACAACTCATCTTTAATCGTGGTAGAGAATAAAAGAGTAAATTAAAGTTTGTACTATGTATTCTTCAAAGTTTTCATTTTATATCATTCTTTAACAATTCTTTTCATTTACATAACAGCTAACTTTACATTTCAATTTGGACCACCCCATAATATCCATCTCCAAGTTCAGTGACTCTTCACTCTGCAACCACTCCGCACACTAACTCTCTCTCTCTCTTCTTTTTCCATCCGATAGTTAGGGAAATGCCAGATCCAAAAAGGAGTAGCCCGGATCTAGTATGTCCGCTTTCCGTCGGGTCGGTTCCTACCTCCCTGAGTCCCTGCAAGCCTAGCACCCCCGACCTCAACGACGACCATAACAATAGTGTGCATGACGATACAGAAGGTGCAAAGACATGTCGGAAATTAGAGGGTGTGGGTGCGCATGCAAAGATGGAGAGGAGGAACGATGGTGGCTCATGGAGAAAGAGCGGCGGTGGCGGTGCGTGGAGCGGCAATTAGTGACTACTAATGTTCTAAAAAGTTTATCACCGACACAATCCCTAACCTAGATTGTTGCATTTTTTTTCTCTAAGTATTACTATACACCGGTCATCATAAAAAAAAGGGAATTGCTAACTGGTCGCCTGCTGATTTATTTTTGTTTGTCAGCCCTTTCTTGGCCTATTGGATTTTGTTCAAGATTCGTGCACCCAACTACTGTTCATGCATCCCGGCCCAGATAACACAGCCCCCGCGCCGCATGTCACGTCACGTGGTCAAGCATTGTTTCAAGCAAGGAATCCGGTGGCATTTTTTGTTGTCCACGCATCTGAGAAAGGAGAGGCAGAAGCAGCGTCATCGACGACGACGCCATAGCTCCAACGCAGCTCCACTGCGAAGTATGTCCCCCGGTCGATGGCTCTGCAAGCTTCGGACCACGAGGGAGGTGAGTTCCCCCAATGGTCCTCTGCTGGAGTTTGGGTTATCATCAGCGTCGGAGAAGAAGAGGAGGTCGCCGGAGTTAGAAAAGAAGCACCTAGAGTACGAATTACGAAGCATATCCGGAGATCCAGGATCCGCAAGATTTAGGTATGCATTTTTTTCGTCAGAAGCTTTATCAGTTCAAAAAAAAAAAAACTAGTACTAGCTCCTTTTAGAGTATCTTCACCTTCCTTGGCGTAAAAGAAAATCTGTCTCGTCTCCTCCGCTCCTTGCGCCATCTCGCGGCTGAACAGGGGAGGGGCGCCGATTTCTCCATCTGGCGAGCAGAGCAGGGGGAGGGGAGGGGATCCTGGTGAGCATCCACATCCTCTTCCTGATTCATCTCTCTCCCGCCGCGACTACTTTTGTCTGGAATTTGCTTTCGTTCGTTAACCCTAGCTTCTCTTCAGAGCCTTAACCTTTGTTTGTTCCCCCAAAAGTTTGGGGGTTCAACTGAACCCCCCATGTCCCAAGTTGGATCCGGCCCCTGGAGGAAGGTGGATGTTAGATTGTAGGGTTTCTTACCTCCTTTTGTCGAACTAGATGCATTGTTGTTTGCTGTAGAATGGACCCATGAGATCAGTGTGGAAGAGTGGCCAGTCCTCGTTCTAGATAAATCCGGCAACCGAAAGCGCGCATCACATATTTGGAGTCATCTTTTCTACTAGGGTTATCAATAATAACCTCAGGCGCTTTTGCGGAACAGGAATTGTGCCATGTTTGTTGTTGGGGACAGATTTTCAGTCAACCCCCATGTTAGATCAGGGCAAAGCTGTACCTTCTTCTCTACTGTTGCTCGGAGCCCTGTTCCCTCTAAACCAAAATGCCAAATGCTTTTAAGTGGATAGAACTTATTTTTTAGAATTCTTAGCGGGGAGGTCAGAGGTCGTAGTTTTAATCGGAATAACTATGCTCTGTCATCTTTTGTGTTCGTGCTATGCTGTGCGATACTTAAACCATTTTACCATTCTTAGGTCTTAGCTATTAGGGTGGCCATTGGTGAAGCCTGGTATCCTGTTTCATGCTTATGAAAATCTATGAAATCATGTATTGTTAATGTTTCATACCTTGTGGGTGCACAATTCAAACTGTTTTGAGAGTTGAGACCAATAAATTCAATCTTACTAGCAGAGATGGCGAGCACAGCATGCTTTGTGATTGTGAGTAAAAATGATATTCCAATCTACGAGGCTGAAGTTGGGTCTGCTCCCAAGGTATGGTTCTTTCAGTACATCCCCTGTAGTAATTAGTTCTATGTTCAATATGGATACATCATAGTATTTTTATCTTACTGTATTACAATGTGCTTTATTGATGTAACATATTCCAAGCGTCAATGCACTGACATCATGCTTTGTTGTGTAGTTTCTTTCCACTATCCATTTCTCTTCATGGAAAATGCATCTGATGTCATATTTAACAACATATGACCAACAATGTATACATATATGTATATACCACTATACATCAATGTTTTGGTACATTTTATTATTCTGCAAACTTATTTTTACCCCTTAGCATATGAAATGTCAACTGCTAGTGATAGTTCAATTTCATATCTTGCTTGTTTGAACTTCAAACCCTATGTTGAAATTTCTTTCACAATATTTTTCTTAAGGAACTGAGGCTGCATACATCACTTGCCTTGTGTTCTATATGAGACATGCCTCCCTTGCATTTGCTCTTCCTTCTTCTAGATAGTCCTACTCAGGGAAACAAATCTCAGCCTTGTTTTCTTGTATTCCTTGTCCAGAATTAATTTTTGAAAGAGTAACTTGCACTCGTGGTGCATGAATTTGCGAGGTGGGTGCCATTCAGTGCAACGATTGCAAAATGCTCAAACTGATTCAACAACTTGTCTGGTGCATGTCAACCAGGGCCAGCACAGTCCACAGTTAGAGCATTAAAGTGTTGGTTGGGGTGCCAACTGGGCAAAGGGTGCGGTAATTAGACAATGTGGCATCCCAGTTAGCGACTTAGCGTTCAACCTTCTATTTAGGTCCTGATAATGAAAAATCACCATTGAAGTGCATCATGGAGCAACTCAGGGATCTAAGTAAGAAAGGCTCCTTTTATTTTATGAAAAAAAAACCATCCCAATTCATCCCTCCCAGGGTGGCTCATGTTTTGCCACTCTGTTATCTAGCATCCTAATCAGTGCAAAAATACTCTTATTAGCCAAAGTACTCCGCTCTCAAGTTTATGCGCCAAAGCACAATTCACTATCTTGAAATATCCATTCTATGTTCATCTATGGCTATATATTTCAAATGTCTACATTATCTCCACCATCTTTCATAGCTCAGACGATAGTAATTCATATTTTGTACTTAGTACACAAGTTCTAAAATCCAAAGGCCTTTTATCTAGCTAGGATTTATTTCCTTGCACCTATTGTCTGAAAGTTTTCTTACTTTACTGTAACCTTCAATTTACTTCCTCCTGCAGAGAGAAGATCAAGCTTATCAGCACCAGTTCATATTGCACGCTGCATTAGATGTTGTTCAGGACCTTGCATGGGCTACAAACACAATGTGAGTAGCCGTTGATCTGTCACTATTCTGTTTGCTGCAACCAAAGATATCGTCTTGTTTCTCCTGTAACTCTTGTTTCTCCTGGCTTCACACAACACGTTCATGATATTCTGCATTCCTTTTCAGGTTTCTGAAGTCAGTAGACAGATTTGATGATCTTGTGGTGTCTGTTTATGTAACTGCTGGTCATATCCTTTTAAAATTAAGATATGGACATAGTGAATCAATACTGGGAATAGAAGAATATAGAAATCTGAGAACTTGGATAATGATAATTCTACCAGCACTATTTTAATAAGAATCCTGCCAGGAAATGATTAAATGTGTGCCGCAACAGGGATTTTTTTGTTTCTCACGCCTGTTTTTATTCCCTATGATGATCATAACCATTAGCCATGCTATCTTTCTAGCCATTCCTCCATCATCTAAGTATTGTTTTTTTTTTGGTGGGGAAGTATTGTTATTTCTTAACTTCCAGTCTGATACATACTAGATTTATGTTACTTCATGACTCAAGGAGCGAGGATGGAATAAAAAGTTTCTTCCAGGAGGTTCACGAACTCTACATCAAGGTAACATGTTTGTTAGTTGTATGCAATGCAAAATAACATGATTTACTAGATGCTATAGTGAGTCAACATTCAAATGCAAACTCACAAAAACTTATCCTTCTTTCTTATATTCCCTTCATATATTATCTATTTTGCAGTTGGACAAATAACCTTGAAAGTTTCTGCACCTTATTTTATTTCTTTATAGATAAAATCCAATACCTTATTTAAGCAATAGAAAAACAAACCTTCAGATTTGCTCTTGACATCTGGAATTGAACTAAAATCTTCTGGTGGTATATACCCAACTACAACCTTTAGACGCTCTGTTTCCATATTATGTCATTTTGTGTTTGTCCTAAATCAATTTTTTTTTTCAAATTTTACCAAGTTTATAGAAAAACTTAGCAACAGCTATAACATCAAATTAATTTAATTAAATCCACCATTTAATATATTTTTATAGTACAGCATTTGTTTTGTGCTGAAAATCCAGCTACATTTTTCTATAAACTTGATCGAACTTGAAGAAAGTTAACTTAGGACCAATGTTTTAAAAAGCGGCTGCACGGACTGCTTATGCGCCTGTATAAGCGTAACAGGTCGTCAGACCTTGCTGACTATTGCTGTCTGGTGCATTTATAAGGGCAACCACAATGTGCATGAAAACTAACCTTAAGGAATAAAGTAGTAATTTTTGTTGTACCTTTGTACATTGGGAGATGAGCTAGGGAGAGAATAGTGCTATGTGCAACCTTAAGCTTAAGGCTAGCCATAAGAATTAAAAAAATATATCATGGCTTTGCAACATGCATGCACACTTTCAATCTTGAGTAAATATGTGTCTTTTTACTCAATGGGTCCCACCTTAAGGTCAAGAAGCTACCATATACATTGTAGCATGTACTATAGATAAAACAATATAAGAATGTGGGTCCCATCTTATGGCTCAATTGATCTAAAACATTGAGGATGCCCTAAGGTTTACAAGGTTAAGCGGGCCGCATATTCAGATATGCGGCCCGCTTACCGTGTAGGCAATTGGCCTTAGGGCTTATGTACCCTTTTGTGTTCTGCCATAGTTCCATTAGTATTTGCTGTTTGCTCTATCCTATATGGACTACGATGGTGTGGTCAGAAGATTGGAACCTATAATATATATAATGTATGAATCACAACTTATTTATTGTTTACTGCATTTGCATTTTTGCTTGATTACATTGAGTCAATGACTTTAATTTTGGTCATCCTTGGGTCCTATTTGGTAGTTTAGTTCTTCATGAGTCTTGCCTCTCTACCGATCCTTTAAGCCTATGTTCATTATCCATAAATAAAGATGGATCAGATGTTAACAATCTGTCTTGTTATACAACTTTAAAACCGCTTACAAGGCCGCTTTCCACACAAGCTCTACAAGGTGGGGTGACCGCACGCACCGCTTACCGTTTTTTAAAGCACTGCTTAGGACAAACCCGTAATGACTTATAATATGGAACAAAGGGAGTATGTACACAATTTTCTGTTACCAACAACTTTTTCCCCCTAACGTAGATTTAAGTACATGGTCCTCTAAGGTCAGCTAACTATTACTATTGATTACTTGATTTCGTCGTATTCATAGTACAATATACGTAATATCAAATTTGGCTGCTACATCATTTGATAGGTTGCTCGTACGATCCAGCTTCCAGCATTATTCTTTATTTTTTTGTAACAGAGAAATTTGTGTGTTTTCATATGTAGATCTTCCTCAATCCACTCTACCTACCTGGTTCTCGCATCACATCCTCTCATTTTGATACTAAGGTCAGGGCTCTTGCAAGGAAATACCTGTAGCATATAACCAGGTGAAGACTCTGTAAGCTCCACACCGCCCTGTATTCTAGTGAGTAGCACTTGCCTTGTACTAGTTCTTCTACAATTGAATGAACGTAGATCCTGAGACTAGCCTAGCAGTACCATTTACTATTGAATGAACATAGATCCTCTAATGATCTTGTACTAGAAAAGTGCTCTGTTTGTCTTTTCCGGAGTTAGTAGACGCCCATTCCTTGCCTGTACTGTACTTCTACCCAGAGATTATATGTACTAGTAGTATAAAATATCTCTCACCCATCGAAGTTTAGTGGGAAATTTATGTCGATCGCCTTGTTTCTGACATGCTCTGCTGCTAAGATAATACTAGTGTCCTTGACCCCGATCCTGTGAACATGGTTTGTTGCGCATCGGTACTGTACTGTTTGTACCATGATACTGTAGTCTCTGTAGTTATTATAGTTATGCCAGGAAACTGGAGGGTGGTGCTGCAGCATTTATCAGAGATATATGAGGTCAAGTAGGTGTATGTAGCAGCAGTAAATACTGCAGGACAATCCAACTGACCAGGCACTGTTAGCTTTCACCGACTGCTTTCCGATCCAAGATCGAAGAGAAGAAATGGATAAATGGATGGGTTATGGTCAATTGCTTATGGGGACGAAGTAAATATTTTATACTATAAAGCTAAAAGCAGCTTGGAACAAGTTATCCAAACAGTGTTGGTGTAGAAAGGTTTTGGAGAAATTGCAATTTGGAGTGTGGCACAAATAGTCCGACATAATTTGCCCCCTGTAATTAAAAAAAGGAGCATTGCAGAACTATGTTTATACATGAGTTAGGCACCTGTTCATATTCGGATTTGACAAGGTTTATGGTCCCTTTGTATCAAAAGATTTGTAGAGGAATTTCAAGGGGAATCCTATATGAAAATTTTCTATTTTACCTTTTGATACAAAGGATTTGAGCTTTCCAAATCCTATAAAATTGCTATGTAATGGTTCATTGTATGTAGGTTTTGGAGGAAACTTAGCAAGAGCTTCAATCTCTTGGAAATTTTCTTTTTAGTCTATTTCTTTTATGTGATTCTTGCATTTTTCGTACAACATAACCAAATGACCATTCTTGCGTTTAGCAATCCTCTGTTTTGCACTTGATTTCTTATCAAAATCATCGTTTTTTGGATACTGCATTTTAAAGGAGTTTCATGGCAGATCACACCATCACCTGGTTGTCTTATTGACAAACTCTCGGTGTTCTCCTAATCCTAGGACCTATGTCACTCTCATAAACTTAAGATGTTGTATCATAGATTGCCACACTTGCCAAAGATATGAACAAACCGTTAGCCTCGTTTTACCAAGTTTAGGTTCCTTCGGATTATAGAATTTTTCAGAGGTCCTTAGGTATTGGGATTTGAACATGTCTTCCAATAGAATACATTCCTATATTTAAATAATTCATAGGATTTTAAGGGCCATTTGAATCAAACGATTTGTGGAGAAATTTTATAGGATTCAAATCCTGAAGAATTTTTTCCTATCTGGTCATTAGATATAAAGGATTGGAGATTTTCAAATCCTATGCAAGTTGAATGGCTCATTATTCATAGATTTTGGGGGATACTTAGTAAGAAAGAGTTCCAACCTTTTAGAACATTTCCTTTTAAGTCTATTTTTTCATCCAATTTCTTTGTTTTTTCTGCAACTTAATTAAACAACAATTCCTAGTTTTTCCTGTGTTTTGTAATCCTCTGTTTTGTGCTTGTATTCCTATTAAAATCATGTGTTTTTTCTATGCCTTTGTTTTTCAATCACGCGTTTCAAAGGAACCCTAAACATGTTCTTCAACTTCATGATTTCTCTTTCTATCCTCTTTAATATAATCATGTTCTTCAACTCCAATGCAAACTCTCTCTCTCTCTCTACCCTTTTTAGTATATGTAGCATATAATATCAAAATCACGTATTTTAACTATGAATTATAAAAAGGGTGGGGAGATTTGGGGAAAAGACAGCCCCCTAAATACTATTTTGGGCAGGAGGATTTGAACCTACGTGGGCTAGCACACCCCGTGCTTACAATGAATCACTCGAACACACGAGAAATTTGCATATCTGCCACTCATAAAAACTGGCTTCGCTATAATGCAAACCCTCGAAATGGGATTCGCCTAGACACCACTCTTAACCTGCGGGCATTCGCTGAAATGCCACTTTCGGCCTTGAAATGCCACTTTCGGCCTTTCTTCCATTTCGAAAATAATTTTCATCAATTTCAATTCTTCTCAGACTATTATGCCCCTGAGTCAACTGGTTCAGTCGGACTCGTATTCTTCTCTGTTTCTCGAGCGACCGAGCGCGAGAAGGCGAGAAGAGGGTCGCGCCGCCGCTGCCTCTGCTCCAGCCGCCCCTCCCCGGTCCTCCCCAGCTGCATCGCCCCTTCCCGGTCCTTCACAACTGCGCCGCCCCTTCCCGGTCGCCCAGGTGCGCCGCCTCCTCTCCCTGTCGAGCCTCATCCTCGGCAAACCCTAGGCACTGAGCCGGGCTAGAGGAGAGGAGGGCGACCACACCTGCGCCGCCGCCTGCTCCAACCGAAGCGCGGCGCCGCCTTCCCCGACATCCGAGGCGCAGCTGGGGAGGACCAGGGAGGGGCGGCGCGGCGGCTGGAGCAGAGACAACGGCGGCGCAGTGGTGGTGGGCGATGCCGCCTCTTCTTGTCTTCTCGCAGCGCGCTCGGTCGCTCGATTGAACCGACGAGAGACAGAGAAGAAACGAGTCTGACTCAACCTGTTGACTCAGAGGCATAATAGTCCAAGAAAAATTGAAATTGATGAAAATTATTTTCGAAATGGAAGAAAGCTCGAAAATGGCATTTCAGCGAATGCCCGCGGGTTAAGAGTGGTGTTTGGGTGAATCTCATTTTAAGAGCCCTTTTGAATTGCAGGAATGGAAAAACGGAGGAATAGGAAAAACGTATGATTGATAGGCAGTATAAAACAGAGGATTGGAAAATACAGGAAAAACACAAGAATGACCGTTTGATTGGACCATAGGAAAAACACAGGAATCGGATGAGAGAGATAGACTCAAAGGAATTTTTCCAAAAGGTTGGATCTCTTGCTAACTTTCCTCCAAAATCTCTATAGGATTAGTCATTCCATAAGAATTTTAAAGGATAGTATATGATTCAATCCTTTATTTCAAAGTCTTTCATAGGAATTTTTTTTTCATAGGATTGGAATCCTTTAAATTTTCTACACTTTTACTACAAATCAAAGGGGCCCTTAAGGGTGGCATTATAGCGAAGCCAGTTTTTATGAGTGACATATATGCAAATTTCTCCTCAAACGCATGCTTAGAATAATTTCTACTCTGTATTGTTTTATTTCCCATTATGTTCCACATGTCATTGATATTTCAATCCAATATTACATTTTTTTCCCCGCGTTCTAGAAGACTAAACAGTGTGGCGTACCAGAACTTTGACAATTAACACAAACAAATATCGCAAAAGGTCGTGAACCAAATACACCCAAAACTTGTGCTCTGCTAATGTCACTCACTTGTCAACAAACCGGCGTGCAGTAATGCGCCATCGATCGAGCTGTCCTAGCAAATCGGGAGCAAATCCGGGGGGGTGCAGATTTGCTGAAGCACGCACATCACGTTCCAGATCCGGCAGAGCTCGACACTGCCTGCCCCCAGCGTGCATCATTCTTCCGTGATTGTATCAAAACATCAGTGGCCACCTCACTTGCCACCACAAAAACCCATCCTTCTTCCAACCAAACCTAGGAGCAAGCTAAAGAGATATCTGAGGTTTCAGCCATGTGAAAAAAAGAGGAAAAAAAAGAAGGATCGTTATCGCCTTCATACCAAGATCCTTGAAATGCAACTCTGCTGCTGAGATTGGCCTTTTGATTTGATTACGGTTGTTGATAGGGGAGCTAGGAAAAGGAGATCAGCTGTGTGGTGTGTCTGATTACGATTAGACGGCAGGTGATAGTAGTAGAACAGTGGTGCCACAAACCCACAAGGCGTGGATTCACGGTTGAAACGTGGTGTGGTGCGTATCGTTGCACTGCTCCGTGGGATCACAATCTCGACCCGACAAGTACGGGCACTACCTTCTTGCCAATGGATGAAGTAGATTAGCAAGTCACATCAAAGATTTAGCAACACCATGGCCTAGATTACCTCGGCGGGTTTTATTGATGAAAGCAATAGAGATACTCTTGTCCCACTGATTGATTTACGTGAGGATTCCAATAGTTTTGCCAGTTTGATCAGATTTTCTGTCCCCTCGAAATTTGATTACTTCAAATTTGAATTTTCAAATATTTTTTAAAATATCTTCTTAGAGAGAGTTGTTAATACCCAAATTTAGCTCCTAGAGTAAGAAATAGGAAGTCATAATCAAATTTAGAAATAACTCAGACTTGCCACACGAGGCTAGTGTGACAATAGCCATTGGGCCGGTCAGACCGACGGCAAGGGCGGTCTGACCGGCGGCATGTGGTCGGTCAGACCGGCAAGGCCGACTCTGAGTGAGGTTTGTAAGTTCTTAGATTTTCTTGCTAAGGCTTGGGATTTTAAAATCCTAATTGGTTTCTACCTAATTGAACGTGGAAAAAACTCTGGGAAATAAGTCTACCCCTCTTATAAATATAAAGGAGCTAAGACCGATTGAAACAACAACAAATCAATCATCAAAATCAATTTATTTACCCAAACCTCTATATTCTACATCTCCCTCCTTCCTACTACCTATGACCTATTCCAAAGTCTATTCTCCTCAAATCCCCCAATTGCTCATCGTCTCTCTCTACGGCGTTAGGGGACGTCCTAGCTGGCCAATCGAGGCTAGGACAAACCGGTACGCGTTTATCTTGACATGGTCCCTTCCGAGTGTTCGTTTGATGACATCTACCCACTCCATACGACGGCGTGTCTCCGGTTTCTGCCTTGGGTTGCACATAACGTGCTCAAGGTGTGGCGGCGTGATTTTACGTTAACAAGAGTTAGAGATTCTGAAAAACAGTTTATGATTTACCAGCTAGTGATCTAGCTACTCCATATTAAAAAAAATGTCGTTTTGGATAAGACATGATCTCCAAAAATAAAAACTTTGATCAATATTTTATATTATACTATACTAGAAAAAATACCCGTGCGTTGCAACGGGTGAAGGATATTTTAATTTTGTTATTGCTATACGATTTAGTTAAGGTGATATTCACTATGAGAATTCGCTTGGATATATATTTTTTTCTAGAAAATCATAAGTTGTAGTTAGGTGTCTGATCATCTCAAGTTAGTACGTAAGTTAATTTTTTAAAGAGATTTCTTATACGACCGTTCATGTATTTCCAAAAGTGAACGAACTTAAAAACCGACTCAAATACAGATCTGTATTTCTAAAAACAAACGAACTTAAAAACTGACTCATACACGGATGACGTACCTAAGTACCAACAAAAACATCTTCAATCTTTATAATAGTTTTACTGTGAGAATTTGCTTGGATATATATTTTTCTAGAAAATCATGAGCTGCAATTAGAAATCCGATCATCTCAAGTTAGCATGCAAGTTTTTTTTAAAAAGATCTCTTATATGACTCCTCCTGTATTTCCAAAAGTGAACAAATTTAAAACCCGACTCAAATACAAATATATATTTCCAAAAGCGAACGAACTTAAAAACCGACTCATACATGGATGACGTACCAAAGTACCGGCAAAAACATCTTCAATTTTTATAATAGTAGAGATATAGAAATATCAATAAATATATGATTTTATTGAAATAATTTTTAAGATTATTTATACATAAGGTCTTCATGTTTGTAACACAAATATTTTAGAAGTTATTCGTTGTTAAGTTTTTAAAGTTCAACATCAGTTTTATCCGCAACAATAATTAATTTTAACCTAGAG